AGGGCACATGCCTGGGTTGCAGACCAGTTCCCTGCAGGCCAGTTCCCAGCAGGGAACGAAAGGCAACCATACATTGATGCTTCTCTCCCTCTCTCCTTCCCTTCCCCTCTAAAGATAAATAAATAAAATATTTTAAAAAAAAACAAAAGACAGAATAGCTGAATGGATAAGAAAGTATGACCCACATATATGCTCCCTACAAGAGACCCACCTCAGGAAAAAAGACCTACACAAACTAAAAGTGAGGGGCTGGAAACAAATCTTCCAAGCAAACGGACAAGAAAAAAAAGCCGGAGTAGTAATTCTCATATCACACAAAACAGACTTCAAAAAAAGGGCCATAATAAGAGACCCAGGAGATCACTTCATAATACTCAAGGGAAGAATCCACCAAGAAGACATTAACATCGCAAATATATATGCACCCAACATGGGAGCACCCAAATACATCAAAAAAATCTTAGAGGATTTCAAGAAAGATATTGACAGCAACACAATTATAGTAGGGAATTTCAATACCCCAATATCAAGAATGGAGAGATCTTCCAAACAAAGATATTGTGGCATTCAACAATGCCCTAGATCAAATGGACTTAACTGATACATATAGAGCCCTTCATCCCAAAGAAGCTAAATACAGATTCTTTTCAAATGCACATGGAACATTTTCAACGATCGACCACATGATAGGACACAAAACAAGCCTCAACTAATTCAAGAAGATTTAAATCATACCAAGCATTTTCTCCAACCACAAGGGACTGAAATTGGAAACCAACCATGAAGGAAAAAAACTCAAACACTGAAAATGATGGAGATTGAATGGCATGCTATTAAACAACTAATGGGTCAAGAATGAAATCAGGGAAGAAATCAAGTTTCTGGAAACAAATGAAAATGAATTCAAGACAACACAAAACTTATGGGACACAGGGAAGGCAGTCCTGAGAGGGAAGTTTATAGCAATACAGGCCTACCTAAGAAAGACAGAAACATTTCAAACAAACAACCTAACCCTACACCTTCAAGAATTGAGGAAAAACAACAAAGACAGCTCAGAGCAACTAGAAGGAAGGAAATAACTAAGATCAGAGGAGAATTAAATGACATAGAAATTAAAAGCACAATTTTAAGGATCAATAAATCCAGTAGCTGGTTTTTTAAAAGATAAACAAAATAGACAAGCTTTTAAGCAGGCTTATCAAGGAAATAAGAGAGAGAAGCCAAATAAACACAATCAGAAATGAAAGAGAAGACATTACAACTGACCCCACAGAAATACAAATGACTGTAAGAAATTATTATGAAGAACTGTATGCCAAGAAATTTGAGAACCTAGGTGAAATGGACAAATTTCCAGAAAAATATAATCTTCCAAAACTCAACGGAGAAGCAGAAAGTCTGAATAGACCAATAACAGCAAATGAAATGGAAGCAGTAATAAAAGATCTCCTGAAGCACAAAAGCCCTGGACCAGATGGTTTCACAGGAGAATTCTACAAAGCATTTAAGGAAGAGCTAACTCCTATTCTTCACAGGCTATTCCAAAAAATCCAAAATGATGGAAGAATCCCCAACTCTTTTTATTAAGCCAGCATCATCCTAAACCCAAAACCAGATAAAGATACAACAAACAAAGAAAATTTCAGGCCAATACCACTGATGAACATAGATGCTAAAATCCCAAATCAGTAAATGTAATACATCACATAAACAAAAGCAAAGACAAAAACCACATGATCATATCAATAGACTCAGAAAAAGCTTTTGATAAGGTACAACACCTATTTATGATAAAAACACTCAGCAAAGTGGGAATAGAGGGAGTATTCCTCAATATAATAAAGGCCATATATTAGAAACCTACAGCCAACATCATACTCAGTGGGCAAAAACTAAAATCTTTTCCACTAAGATCAGGAACAAGACAAGGTTGTACACTTTCACCACTTCTATTCAATATAGTATTGGAAGTTTTAGCCACAGTGATCAGACAAGAAAAGGAAATAAAAGGCATCCACATCAGAAAGGAGGAAACAAAACTGTCACTGTTTGTAGATGACATGATAGTGTACATGGAAAATCCTACAGACTCTACCCAAAAACTGCTTAACCTAATAAGTGAATTTGGCAAAACAGCAGGATACAAAGTCAATACCCAGAAATCAAAGGGATTTTTGTATACCAACAATGAAACAGCAGAAGCAGAAATCAGGAAAAGAATCCCATTCAATATAGCAAAAAGAAAAATAAAATACCTAGGAATAAACCAAACCAAGGAGGTAAAAGTATGTAAAAAAACTACACAACACTGAAAAAGTCAAGGAAGACACAAACAAATGGAAACATATACCATATTTGTGGATTGGAAGAATTAACATCATCAAAATGTCCATACTACCCAAAAAGATTTACAGATTCAATAAAATACCTGTTAAAGTACCAAGGTTATACTTCGGAGACATAGAACAAACACTTCAAAAATTTATATGGAATCACAAACGAGCCTGAATAGCAGCTGCTATTTTGAGAAAGAAGAACAAAGTAGGAGGGATCACAATACCTGATATCAAACTGTATTACAAGACCACTGTAATCAAAACAGCCTGCTACTGGCATAAAAACAGGCACATAGACCAATGGAACAGAACAGAGAGCCCAGAAATAAACCCAAATCTCTACAGCCAATTAATATTTGACAAAGGGGGCAGTAACATAAAATGGAGTAAAAATAGCCTCTTCAACAAATGGTGTTGGGAGAACTGGACAGCTAGGTGCAAAAAAATGAAACTTGAGCACCGACTTACACCATACACCAAAATAAATTCAAGATGGATAAAAGATTTAAATATAAGCGGTGGCACCATTAAAGTTCTAGAAGAGAACATAAGACAAGAAAATCTCAGATATTTCACACAGCAACATTTTTACTGATATGTCCCCCAGAGCAAGGGACATAAAAGAAAAAATAAACAAATGGGATCTCATCAAAATTAAAAGCTTTTGCATGGCTAAAGAAAACAGTATTAAAATAAAAAGAGATCCAACTGTATGGGAAAACATATTTGCCAATGATACCTCAGACAAGGGTTTAATCTCCAAAATATACAAAGAACTTACACGACTTCACTCTTAGAAGACAAATAACCGAATTAAAAAATGGGAAAAGGACTTGACAATTCTCCAAGAAGGACATACAGAGGATCCAGAGACACATGAAAAGATGCTCAATATCACTGGCTATCAGAGAGATGCAAATTAAAACCACAATGAGATACCACTTTACACCAGTCAGATTCGCTATCATAAAAAAAGCAACCAACAACAAATGTTGGAGAGGGTGTGGGGAAAAGGGGTCCCTAGTTCACTGTTGGCGGGAACGCAGATTGGTACAATCATTATGGAAAATGGTATGGAATTTTCTCAGAAAACTAAAAATGGAACTTCCTTTTGACCCAGCAATTCCACTGCTGGGACTATATCCTAAGAACCCTAAAATACCAATCCAAAAGAACCTAGGCACCCCAATGTTCATAGCAGCAAAATTTACAATAGCCAAGAGCTGGAAGCAACCCAGGTGCCTGTCAGTAAATGAGTGGATCAAAAAATTATGGTACATATATATACAATGGAATTCTATGCAGTAGAAAGAAAGAAGGATCTCCTACCCTTTGCAACAGCATGGATGGAACTGGAAAGCATTATGCTGAGTGAAATAAGCCAGGCATTGAAAGACAAATACCATATGATCTCACCTTTAACAGGAAGCTAAACAACAAAACACACAAGCAAGCAAAATAAAAACAATGACACTGAAATAGAGAATGGGGACAGTGACCAGAGGGAAGAGGGGAGGTAATTTCAGGAGAAAGGGGGTAAGGACTTATAGGAACTAGTATAGAGAACACATGGACAACAACTAAGGGGGGTGGAAATGGGAGGGAGGTGGGAAGCACTGGGGGGGTGGGCTGGGATGGGAGTAAAAGACAGAATACTGTACTTGAAACATAATTAATTTTAAAAACTTTTTTAAAAAAGAAATCCCCAGTTGTATCATTTATTAATGTGTAATTTTGGGACAAGTGACTTAACAAAATCTATTTGGTCTTTTAACTTAGAATAATAACACATTTAATCAATTCTGAGATGGGATTTATTATAAAGCTATCATTACTTTATACACTAGGAAGGAAAAAAATGCCATCTATGAAACTATGATTGCCAGAAACTGCAAAATTCATCCTGATGTGAAAGAAAAGTGCATCATAGAATTAATAAAATATAGTCAGACCTGTCTTAGGTGGATTCAGCAAATTAACACACATAAAGTATTTCAAACTACAAGTGGCTTAAAACAAACACAATAAATTAGGTGCTTCTATCAGTAACATAATCCCATTTTAAAACAAAATTACACACTTAAACATATGCGTAGATAATATATTTGAAAATAGTAATAGTGCCTATTTCTAAATGGTGGGCCCATGGATGACAAACTTTCTTAATAAACTTCTCAAGTACTGAAATTTTTGCAGAAATCCTGTATTACCTTAATCATTAGAAAGAGAGCAATTAGGTTAATTCTATCATGAGGAAAACAATATCTAGAAATGAAGAGAGCAGGCAAGCATACCAGGCTATCAGAAATTTGGAAGTGCATTGGCTATTACATGTGATCCTGGAGGGGACAGCAAAGAAGTTAGTGAGACAGGAGTAATCTTATTCTGTTGGTCAACTTTCCTGACAAATCGCTGAGGCACATTCTATCAAGACTGTCTATGGGATTGAACAAAATCCAGGAAAGTGAAAATTCTAGTGCAGAGCTCTTGTTTAGGCTCCTGTCTGGGTTAGGAAAACTGCTCCCTAAATGTGGTTTTTCCCTTCTCTTCCCCTTTCTCCAAATCACTACAGTAAATCTTTTATATAGAATCCTGAAACAGGACAATGTTCTGAAAAAACTACAAGCCCTTTCCAAGAAGAAAGTGCCACATACAACTTACCTCCGCCATGACTTCTGGTGAACAGCAGTTCTTCTCTTCTCCAGTTCTGATTCTACAAGAAGAGAAAAGGTAGGATGAAGATTAAGGAACTAGGAGTCAAGAGTCCCTCCCTGGTTCCCAGAGGACGCCAAATCAGAATAAATCCCTGACCCACCCCAGGCACTAAAAGGGAGCCCAAAGCCAAAGAAGCCTGTAACTCCATTCTCTCACCTCAGCTCAAAGAGTAGGTAACCTTAGGGGTCTAGATGGGAGTACTGGGAAAAGAATCCCAGACTGTGGCTGCCTTCTTCCATAAGAGCCTGACTTTGGGTTCTTGTAAGCCCAACATATTATATTTATGTTCTTCTGAGTTCAAAAATGTGGCTCCAAGATAAAGTTAAGTGGACCCATCTGTCAGAGTCCTCACAACCCTGTCTTCTAGGTGGAGGAACCTCTATGGGACTGGATCCCCGGCGAACACACGATGAAAAGACAAAAAGTATGAGAGGAGTTCCCAGGCCGAAGTTATACAAACCCGCTGGACGGCAGAAAATAGCCCTCGGGAGAAGGCCAGTCACAGTGCTGGAGAGAGAATGGCGGCGGTTATCAGTTTCAGCTGCTAGAAGGTAAGGGAGGTAGAGGCTCGAAATGCACTCGGGGTCTGAAGTAGAGGCCCAGAAGCCACCCACCGCCCGATTCCGCCCAGCGTTTACCAAGAACCTACAAACAAGGAGGGCGCCCTTCCCAGTTCTAGCCGGAAAGGCAGAGACAGCGTTGAGGCCGCGTAGGCTTCTCTCGCACAATCCAAAGAAAGTCCCGCTTGGACAGTGCACTCACCGCGGCCCGGCAGGCACTGCTGGTCCGGGGAGCATCGCATGGACTTTCCGCCCAGGCCAGACACCATACGGTTGGAATACCCCTGACCTCCCGACACTGCCAGCCTGAAACTACACCCGCCCAGGACAGGCGCGCGGCGGATCCCTCCCTACCCAGAGGGAGGACAAGCACCCTCCACACCTCCGCCCTGCCCGACGCCCTTTATTTTCCAAGCGTGGACAAGCATCCCGGGCATGCCCAACAGCCCCCCCCCCCCAACATTTAAGACCCCGGACAGACCCTGTCCCGCCCCAGGGGTCCTTAACGTCCACTTCTCCGCAGTCCTCGCACGCCAGTCTCTTCAGGTCCGCAGCAAATTAGTGAGCTAGGCCGCCGAGGACACACCGACGCTTTGTGTCCGAACTCCGTGGGATTCACTGCCCGCCAACCAACTCTGGCAGGAAACGGCTCGTGCCGCGAAGCTGTCAGGGAAATGTAGTCCAGAAGAGCAAAATTCCCGCAAGGGTCTGGCTGGCTCGACAGTCTTCCTCGTGCGTCATTCCCTGCCTTCGATGAAGCTCGGATCTGGTAGCTCAGTGCGCCTGAACATTCTCCGAGGACCTGGGCGAGCCGACAGGTCCGGATAACAATAGGTCGACTGCTGGGAACTGAGAAGAAGTTATGGACTGTGGAGGCTTCTGAAGTATGTAGCCCACAGTTTGGGAAAGGGCGGAACGGCCCTCCATCGGAGTGTCCCGAGACCCCGAAGTTAACTTGTCTGCCACAGTCCTAGGAGATGCCCAGAAGCCTCAAGGAACTGTAACTAAAAGCCTAAGCCGACGGTCCAGAGTTCTCTCAAGGAGCCGTGGTCTGAGCCCGGGACCAGAAGAGGACAACTTCCCACCACGCCACGAACTAGGAGTCCTCAGAGCTGGGCAGTTCAACCCCTGGCGCCTCCGAGACCGGGTCGTGCTCGGTGCTCCACTTGCGGCTGAGAATTTATTACCCAGTTCCGGGCGCCGCTGGGAAGTGTAGTCCTCAGTGTGCAGGGCCTCAACGCTGCAGCCTTAGGTCCAGGCTTTTCCGGGGAATTTGAGATGTGGTTTTACGGGGCCACCGGGTAGCAGCTCGGTCCACCCTGGAGGCATCCGGGAAATGTAGTTCCTGCCTTGCGAGTTGAGGGTGTGGAGGTGCAGAGATTGAGTTCCGGACGTGGCAGTTTGAGAAGGGACTGGCAGGTTGGAAGACACCCCTGAGTCAGAAGTGGAAATAATGGACTACCAACAAAACCACATACCACGTAACACTGTTTTCAAACTTCTTATAAGTACATAAATACAGATAGAAAGGCATTGATAAGCTCTCTGGAAAGTAACACAAACTTTTATTAACAGTAGTTAATTTCTAGGATGTGTAATTGTGATTTTTTCTTTTTACTTTAAGATTATTCTCATATTTTGGCCATTAACATGTCCTTATGGCACATTACTTGCTAAATTTTGTGATAAAATGAGTAAATATAAACTCTGAAATAGATGAACTGGAAAAAAATAGTGGACCAGATTCTAAAAATTTGCAATTTGGTTTTAAAAGATCAGTGAAGCACAATATTGATAAACAATAGCAAAACAAAAAATTAAGTCATAACTAAAACACTAAAAATAAGAAAGGTTAAACCACATAGAATTTAAAAGAATTTTGAGGCTGTTACATGCCACTTGACAACCACAGTGGAGGTAATTGTAGATTCTCTAGTAAAATTTCAATGATTAATTCTAGTAAGAAGTATAAAGCCTGAACAGAACAATAACCATAATAATATTTTAAGTATATTTTATTGATTATGCTGTTAGTTGTTCCATTTTTCTCCCCTTTATGCCCCTCTGCCCTGTACCCCCCAACCCTCTAGCATTGCCCCCCACCCCGCCTTAGTTCATGTCCTTAGGTTGTACATATAAGTTCTTTGGCTTCTCTATTTACTATCCTATCCTATTCTTTTTAAAAAATATATTTCATTGATTGTGCTATTACAGTTGTTCCATTTCCCCTCATTTAACCCTTCCACTCTGCACATACCTTCCCACCTGCATTCCACCCCTTAGTTCATGTCCATGGGTGGTACATAAAAGTTCTTTGGCTTCTACATTTCCTATACTATTCTTACCCTCCCCCTGTCTATTTTCTACCTACCATCTATGCTACTTATTCTCTGTACCTTTTCCCCCTCTCTCCTCCTCCCACTCCCTTGTTGCTAACCCTCCATGTGAGCTCCATTTCTGTGATTCTGTTCCTGTTCTATTTGTTTAGTTTGTTTTTGTTTTTGTTTTTAGGTTCAGTGGTTGGTAATTGTGAGTTTGTTGTCATTTTACTGTTTACAGTTTTTGATCATCTTCTTTTTCTTAGATAAGTCCCGTTAACGTTTCATGTAAAGAGGACTTGGTGATGATGAATTCCTTTAACTTGACCTTATCTGGGAAGCACTTTATCTGTCCTCTCTCATTCTAAATGATAGCTTCACTGGATAGAGTAATCTTGGATGTAGGTCCTTGCCTTTCATGACTTGGAGTACTTCTTTCCAGCCCCTTCTTGCCTGCAAGGTTTCTTTTGAGAAATCAGCTGACAGTCTTATGGGCACTTCTTTGTATGGAACTGTCTCCATTCCTCTCCCTGCTCTTAAGATTCCCTCCTTAACCTTAATCTTGGATAACTCAATTATGATGTGCCTTTGTGTGTACCTCCTTGGGTCCAATTTCTTTGAGACTCTCTGGGTTTCCTGGATTTCCTGGAAGTCTGTTTCTTTTGCCAGATTGGGGGAGTTGTTTTTCATTATTTGTTGAAATAAGTTTTCAATTTCTTGCTGTTCCTCTTCTCCTTCCTGCACCCCTAAGATTCCAATGTTGGAACATTTAAATTTGTCCCAAAGGTTCCTCAGCCTCTCTTCATTTTTTTGAATTCTTGTTTCTTCATACTGTTCTGGCTGGATGTTTATTTCTTCCTTTTGTTCCAAATCATTGATTTGATTCCTGGTTTCCTTCTCTTCACTGTTGGCTCCCTGTATATTTTCCTTTATTTCACTTTGTGTAGCCTTCATTTCTTCCTTCACTTGGGTTCCTTCGCTTCGGTTGCTCTAGCCCCACTTTCCAATGAACTCTGCTGTGAGATTGGGAGTTCCTCCTGCTGTCAGAACCCCACAGTATTTTACAGCTAGAGGTTTTGAGTCTTTAGTTTCCCAGCCCCGCCTCACCCACTCTGTTTGCTGCCATGCCATGGGTCCTCTCTATTCACCCATCTGCCCATCTCCACTTTTCCTACCAGTCTGCATGAATCTTTCTTTAACTCCTTCATTGTCAGAGTTCCATGCAGTTTGGACTTCCGCCAAGATGGAGGTATAGGTGGATGTGCCGTGCCTTCTCACACAACCAAGTTTAGGGACAACTAAATATTAGCATCAGAAAACACAACCAGAACACGGAAAATTGAACTTTTCGGAAGTCCGTTAACAACAAATTCTTCAGCCCAACCGGTAAGGGGCGAAACCGGCGTCTCGTGAGGGGTTGCACAGGACTCGGGTGGGACGGACCCAGGCGCGGAATCCAGACGCGCGAATCCAGACGCACGGGGTTCCAAACGCAGGATTGGACCTAGTGAGCGACCGAGCAACCCACCGGGTGAGCGACTGCAGAGGACACAGTACGGAGGCGGTGCTGCGTGTTGACTGTGGTCGCCTATTTGCGGGCGAGCGGACAGGCGAGGGAGTGGGCGGTTGGACCGGGGGTCCCCGTGGCAAGCGGCAGTAGAGGGCTCCGCCATTTCCCCGCTCTGACCACGCCCCCACATACAGCGTCACAACCCAGCGACCTGGGAGTCCAAGGCACCGCTTCTCACATTTAAAGGGCCAGAACAGACCAAAAATGTCGCAGGAAGACCTCAAAGCCCCAGAGATAAATCTAAGCGACGAAGAAATAGCAAAATCTCAGACGCACAGTTTAAAACACTGGTCATCAGGATCCTCACAGATCTGGTTGATTATAGCCACAAATTAGAGAAACATATGAAGGCTAAACTAATGGAAATGAATGGAATTCCACAGGAAACCCATAGCGATGAAAAGGAAACTGGGACTCAAATCAATGGAGTGGACCAGAAGAAAGCAAATAATAGCCAAACAGAAAAGAGTGAAGGAGCAAGAATTCAAAGAAATGAGGAGAGTCTTAGGAACCTCCAGGACATCTTTAAATGCTCCAATATCCGAATTATAGGGGTACCAGAAGGGGGTAAGACACAGCTACCAGTGGAAAACTTATTTGAACAAATAATAAAAGAAAATTTCCCCAATCTGGCAAAGGAAATAGACTTCCAAGAAATCCAAGAAGCTCAGAGAGTACCAAAAAAGTTGGACTCAGGAAGAAACACACCAAGGCATATCATAATTACATTAGCCAAAATTAAAATGAAGGAGAGAATCCTAGAAGCAGCAAGAGCTAAGGGGACAATCACCTACAAAGGAGTCCCCATCAGACTGTCAGCAGATTTCTCAAAAGAGACCTTACAGGCAAGAAGGGGCTGGAAAGAAATATTCCAAGTCATGAAATCTAAAGACCTACAACCAAGATTGCTCTATCCAGCAAAACTTTCATTTAGAATGGAAGGACAGATAAGGTGCTTCTCAGATAAGATCAAATTCAAGGAGTTCATCATCACCAAGCCCTTATTATATGAAATGTTAAAGGGACTTATCTAAGAAAAAAGAAGTTAAAGAAACATGAACAGTGAAAGGACAACAAGCTCACAGTTATTAACAACCACACCTAAAAAGAAAGCAAACTAAAAGGACAGCTAGATCAGGAGTGGAAACATAGAAATGAAGATCTCAAGGAGGGTTAGCAACAGGGGAGTGGGAGGAGGAGAAGGGGGGAGAAGGTACAGAAAATAAGTAGCATAGACAGTAGATAGATGGGGGGGCAAGAATAGTATGGGAAATATGGAATCTAAAGGACTTGAGACACATGGTCATAAACTAAAGGGGGGTAATGGTGGAGATGGGGGGGTAGGGTGGAGGGGAATGAAGGGGGGAATAGAACAACTGTAACAGCATAATCAATTTAAAAAAATAAAAAATAAATTTAAAAAAAAGAGTTCCATGTAGTTTGATATTCTGGCTGTTCTGGTTGTTTATTGTTTTAAAATTGGTTGTTATACTTCTTTTGGTTTTGTAAGGAAGTGAAGCATTTCTACCCACACCTCTATCTTGGCCAGAACCCATACTAAAATTTAAATATATCTTAAAATATGTAATAGTGAAAAGGTTCCAAATGATTATAGCTGAGTTTTAGCTAATTTTTGATCTCATAATGATTATGCAGTTTATTCAGATTCTCAGAAAAGATGACAACCTCTCTAATTAATTTTGTCTAACTAATGTAAAATCTGATAAAGATAGGCCAAAGGAAAAAATATTATTCATTTTGTATTAAAGACAAACTGAGCCCTGGCTGGTGTAGCTCAGTGGATTGAGCATGGGCCTGCGAACCACCCGATCTCGGTTCTATTCCCAGTCAGGGCACATGCCTGGGTTGCAGGCCAGTTCCCAGCAGGGGACTCACGAGAGGCAACCATACATTGGTATTTCTCTCACTCTCTCCTTCCCGTCCTCTCTAAAGATAAATAAATAAAATCTAAAAAAAAGACAAATTGAAGCATGTTACAATTTTTAAGAGTTTATCTGAGGATACATAGATTCAAATTAGGTAGCATCAAACCAAAGTGGTTAGGAGTGCTCCATCAAAAGGAACTAGTGAAGAGATTTTTGTTTTTTAAAACCTCATGGAAGGACATGCTTATTGATTTTAGGGAGACTGGAAGGCAGGAAAAGAAAGAGGGAGAGAAACATCAACGTGAGAGATAAACATCAATCAATTGCTTTTTGTGTGCACCCCAACTGGGGATTGAACCCACAACTTAGGCATGTATCCTGACAAATAATCATACCCTCAACCTGTTGGTATATGGAATGATGCTCCAACTAATTAAGCCATGCCAGCCAGGGCAACTAGTGGAGAGACTTCTATAGAGACGAATGAGAAGCAAAGCAAAGAAATTATTTATTTGGTATAGCTTAAGT